AAGTGTAGTCTTTTAGTTCTAATACACACTGCAAAACAGAAAGCTGAACTAGATCTTGGCACTTAATAAAAACAAAAGCTTTTCAAAAATAAGGAAAGAAAAGCATATAATTGCACCACTTGTAAAGAAAACCACATTGATGTGTAGGGAAAAACATAACTGACAAAAAGAGAACCTAACATTATCTGCTTAAGAAAAATAGAGAAATATATGACTTTCAATGGTGTGAAAACATTCAAATCGTACACAATGATTAACAACCAAAGCAGGGGAAATACATATAACAATTCACCATTTTACATTCTAAATATAGGCAAAAAGTATTAAACCTAAAAGAGGCATAAAATCTTTATTTTTCACTGATAAAAATAATACTAGAGTATCTGGCAACTTATTCCACATCTCACTTTTTTTGCACATGGTAAAACGAATATTGAATATATGGCAGTGTGGTTACAGCTATGCCGCTTTCAGCCTTAGGTTATCAAAATGAACTTTATCTCTGATAAAATTACTTGCATCCTACAACTTAATATTACAAAATGGTAAGCTCAAGCTTATAATTTAAATGTGTAAAAATATGCAAATCTCGACTAGATGTGTTTTTACACACTTGCCCTAAATCACTTAGTTGAAAAAGTAGACCATACATAAACAAAAATAATAAAAAAGCTACATAAAAAAAAAAAAAATAAAAAATAAATAAATAAATAAATACACAACAAGAACAATATATGTTAGCCTATGTGAGGTAATCTACAGAAATAAAATAAAAAAGCCAACTTCGCATCATCTGCTATGACTCCCTCTTGGATACAAAAAATGATGCCAGTTTCACCAATAATTTTAAAAAATTGGCCTCAACTTCAGGACAAAAAAAATGGTCTACTTTTGTTCAAGATAATTTCTTTGTAATCTACATGTTAGATACATAATTTTTAGCCAAAAACATTTGCTGTGTCTTTCTTCTTATTGAACCAGGTCCAGTGAGATAAAACTGACAAGTCTTGATGAAAGTAGACAAATATTTGGGTCTAAAAGTTTAGACATTTTGGATTTTGAATGATGAAGTTCCAGTGTAAAGTTCTTTTATGAAACTGCTTTGAAAAGGGTCAATCCTCTGATACAAAAATTAAAGGTATTACTTACAAAATTCAGAGACCATTCTTTCCAAATATATACAGTTACTCCAGAAAAAAACTAATACTGTGACAATTAAACAATTCACTTCAGCATTCTCAGAATTTCAAAATAGTGCTCTGGTACCAAAACTGATTTGCAAAACAGACCTCAAGTTCTGTTAAAATTCAGCGAGTGTTCACAGCAAAAAAAAAAAAAAAAAAAAAAAAAAAAAAAAAAAAAAAAAAAAAAAAAAAAAAAAAAAAAAAAAAAAATGCCAACTGTTTGTGCCACTATGTTATTCTAGGTAATAAAGCATATTGGGATCACAATATATGCAACATGCTGTACTAAAACAGTGAGACTAGGAGAAAATAAAAGCAAACACTAACATTTACATTAAAAAATGTAGAAAATATGTGCTAACAGGAAGAACACAGGATTCAAAAAAAAAAATAAAAAATAAAAAAATAATAATAAAAAAAAATAATAAAGTGACATATACTATGCCTTTCAATAAAGTTGACAGCTTTAAGTTTTAGAATGAAGTAAAAAAAATTCCCAACAACATATATAGTATTTGGCTCATATATCACTCAAATATCTTCAATTATTTCTTCAAATGTGTTGAAAGCCCTGGGGGAAAAAATCTGTGGGCCATTTTGTAGACATTCTTTGGTTTTGACGCATATGAACATATGCACTGTGTACTATCATGCGGCCAATTTCATCACTGAGTAGCAAGGCTGTTGGAATTATTTCTATATCAGCCTTACTCAGTATGCATTTAAGAGCAAAATACTTCAGTTAATGATCATTTAATTTCAATATTGGGAATTTTTCCTTTGGTGATGTTGGGACTTTTTTTTGTGAAATGAAAAGCACAAGTAGACAATGTGTTTCATTTCGTTTCATTTTCTATAAAGGAGATTCCTCTTTTTTTGATGAAATAAATTTTTTTTCATCAAATTGAAGTCATGTTTTAACCAAAATGAGCAGATGACAATATACAGTACACTGCAAAACTAAAGAAACTAAAATTATATCACAAATTATACTTTCCTTGTTACACTGGTATTTCACAGTAGTTGCACAAACCCTTTAAAAAGATTAAAAAAAAAAAAAAAAGGGTTGGTCAAAACTGAAACCTGTGGCTCCATCTGCTGTTAAAGCAGTTGAAAAAAGTTTTGTTAGAGAAGAGAAACATAATCAGTATCAAATAATCCCACTGTGCAAAGCATCATCTAAAGCTGTGCATTGAGCTACAACACAAGTGCCATTTTAGAAAGATAACATATAAAACTGACGCCACCACTTTGAACAATAACGATTAACAAGATCAGCAAAAGACACTGGATTTCCCAGTCTCCTTATGCTTGTCTTGGGTGACCTTCACCTTTATAATGCACATATAATGAAAAATACTGGCAAATCTTTAGTAAATAACAGATGACAAGTTAATGGCACAAAGCAAGAACTAATATCAATGATGTGAACAAATTGCACCTATGCAGAGGGGGGAGGAGGGGGGGGGGTGCACCATATTCAAAACGTGAGAGACCCCCTGGCTCCAGCACCTGTATTATACAGACAAAATTACAACTAGGACAACAGAATTCAACCAATGATGACTAAAAAAAATGTTGACTGACCTCTTACATCTAGGTGTTTTAGAGTTATAACCCTAAGCAGAATCTAAATATTCAGACTAGAAAAACACTCGCCCATCAGAACAGCTAAAAACATTTCAACAGTTAAACATAGAAAGGTTTCTCTCAAAATTGAGATCTGGCAGCTAGTGCCAAGGCATACAGCGCATACCTAGTGCAATATAATCCTTAATAACAATATCTTTCATAAAATACATGCCAATATACAAACATGCAAGCAGTAACATATTCATTGACCTTTATGCGTTCTTTACAGTTTTATACTACATTAACCATACAAAATTAGATCTTGGTCCTCAACTAGTTTCCACTACATAAAATACAAACTGGTTCTACTTGAACATATGTATATTATATGTTACAATATCAATAATAAGTATACAAATATACTGCTGACAGGCAAATCCAGTTGGCAGATTACACTTCACGATGAGATGAAATTGTCAAATATCTACACAAGAAAAAATAGCTACAAGCTTTTTGGCACTAAATTGACTGTGACAAAAAGGACCTTTTCAATTAAAAGCTAACAATTTACATTTAAAAACCTGTTTTTTCAATACAAACATTCAATTATCTGTATTCCAGATATCAGACTTAACATTATCAAACAAGACAATCTTATCAGCAAAGTAGCAGCAACTATGAGGGCAAATTTTCTTGTAGCCTCACAGCTAACAATAATTTCATCTTTTATCTACAATTTGAATAAAACATTTCCCCCCCTTTAAACCTTATACAGAATCACTTTTTTTGTACAATGTAAAATAATGCGTTAACTTTGCACAGTAATCAACAAATAATAAGCTTAAGTCACTAACATGGAACAGATACAATAAGTAACCTCTACAGTATTTTTTCATAAGATACTAGAAAATGCTTTCTTAACAATATGATATTGCTACCACAACTAAATGACCCAACAGCCTCTGTTAAATGTTTTGGCTGATACTTATGGTGAATCAAAACCATAAAACAAAGGTGTATATCTGAACTTTGTAAATGCCCTCCATTTTCAAATATGACTAACATCAAGTTCTTTTCACGTTGAGCATAGCACAATTTTGAAAGTGAAGTCAAGTCCCCTGTAGCACAGTTCTGTGGTAGATTCTCTCAAAACATACTGCTACAAACAGAATGCTGTAATGATGCTTGAAGTTAAAAGGCCTTAAGGAGATGTCTTCCCATACCTTGGTATGTGTATCAACAGTTTGCAAAAGCTGCTGAGCAGAATCAATACAAAGCAGTAAAAAAATCATGATGAAATTAACCATATGTATTCTGTAATAGTGCAATGAAATTCCTTTTCTTTTCTCCTCATTTCATGTTCAGTAGTTTTAATTCAAGGTTAATTGTTTCATAAAATGAAAATTCCTCTTTTGCTTAATTATACTGTCCTAATTGCTGTAGTTTCACTTAGAAATTGAGGCATTGAGGACAGAATAACACAGAACATATGCTAGGAAATCAGGTGCAATATTGTAGCCACCAAACACTTATCTGAATTGTTTCGTGACCAAAAGATTGGGAAAAAAAGCAAAAACTGCAATACCAAAAATTTGGAAGACTTACATTTTAACCTTTACTGAATTAGTTTTTTTTTTGTTTTTGTTTAATTAAGTTTGGGATTTCATCAATCATTAATATCTGAGAGATCATCACATTATCTAAGACTCAATCCAGTTTCATTCATTCAAAGGCGTGTGGACTAACTAATCCTCAAAACAAATATTGCAAGAATCACTTGAAAGCATGCCCCTTAATCCACTCATGATTTATAGATGTAATTGCTCTACCCCTGCAGGGATGGCATGCGAGGGAGGTGGGGAATTCATTAGGGAATTATGCAGCATGCTTTCAAGTGTGCCCCATATTTGATCTGCAGATCAGTTAGTCTGTGGATTAACTTATCTTTGAACAGACCCATACAGCTATTCTGCAACGTTTCATGTGCAAGCTTGCCCTGTGTGTGAAGGGAGAATTCTAGCATTCCAAACTTTTGCTGCTACACAAATATACTGACTGGCAGTTTCAGTTGGCAGATTACACTTTTGCTCATAAGTACCTAGCCTGATAATACTCCTTTGATGAAGGAAGCACCAATACATGCAGCTCCACCTAGGGAGTAAGTCACTCATGCAGTAGAGCCCTCTGGGGACAAGTAAAAAAACCCAAGAGGCTCCCTGCCCCTGCTGGGATAAGATAGCTAGCTTATTCTGCCCCTCGAGATTAACTGCTGTCATGAGTCACCATCTTTTAAGGAACATATTGACATTTCTTCCACTTCTCCCTTGGAACTTTCTTTCCTTGTAGTCCCATCATCTCTTTCACTGTTCTTGGCACAGAATCCTCTTTTCTTCCACTTACACAAAAAAAGTTTTCAAATGATTTTGATTTTACAAAAAATGTCATGGATGTTGCAGTTTCTGAAATTTCTTTCTCCCCCTCTTGAAGTCTTCTCTTAACAACATGGAAGGTATGAAATACTCTTAAAAATGTTTCTGAAAATGGTGTCCATTGCCCTTTCTTTCTCTTGTATAAATAGAGTAAACAGAGTAACTGTCTTGGAAATCTTGTTATAATCTCCTTGGAAATTGTCACTAAGTTCTACATACATCAAAACAAAACAGCACCAAAATTGTTATCTACAGCCATTTTAAACAATGAAAGCATGGTCGCCATGGCAATGGTAAATAATATTATAAATGCATGATTGAAACAACAATGAGACACCCACATTTTCCACAGTTATTGTTCCCTTTGAAGGTCATTAAAGGTCAAGACCATGTGGGTCAAGGTCGGTTCAGGGTCAATAACCTTGGTTTTCTTTTGAATGTGATCTATCTTTGGTACATAGCAATAATCAAATCTTCCTGTTTAACCCTTTCCAGTCTAGGGCTTGACCACATCTAGATGTGTTGTTTTAAATGGCACAGTTTATACCAGAACACAGGCGGAGAAAGGGTTAAATAATGAAAAATATGCTTTGAGCTTAGGAACACAGTTCAACTTCATTCCCCCGCTGTTGGTTTTGTGTGTCATCTTTTTCCCACCTCTCAAGCCCCTTGGTGAGATTCAATGTGAGATCCAGTGCATCTCAAAAGCCTTTAAATAAAGACTGAAATTACTGTACTGGGGTGAGAATGGTGAGAATGGTGTGGGGACCACAAATTCACAGTCATGGAGTCCCGTCTGGCTGCCTTAGTTTTTTAATGGTGTTTTTAAGTGCCTGTCTCTTGTTGCAGAACCAGACTCTAATAACTTCACGGTCGTAATTCAGTTTTTCTGACAGGTCAGTCATTTCTGCACCTGCAAAAATAAAAATAAGGATATATTAAACAGATATATCTATACTAAAACTGGATTTTTCAATGTTGTAATTCGGTGATTCTGAAAGTGTGAACGTCATTTATTTAAAAAAAATTAAAATAATAATGAATAAATAAAAAGAAAAAAAAAATAACTTCCAAATATAAAAAGCTCAAGAAACAGGATCCATTCTACAATGCAAATGAAGTCTGAACAGTCTGTTAAAAACAATTGTCACTTTCTATCTCTGAACCTTATTTAAGTGGATCCCAACTGCCTTATCATGCATCAAAGTTGACAAAAATTGTTTAGTGTCTTAGTTAGAAAGATTTACGATCTTTGGGTTAAAAAGGATTATCTTCAATAAAATTAGGGAAAAAATCCTTCCTTAAGTTAAAACAAATAAATCAATAAATAACCTTTTGACAAAAGTTCATCTGGCAAACAATACCATAATTTTTCAATTGACATAACAATTTTAATGTAAATTCTATTTAATATTGATAAGAAACATGTTCTCCAACACTTCGTCTTGTTAGTTTTCTATTTGGTTAAATTAGGCTCGTTAAATGAATAATTAATAAATTGTGAAAAAATGCATCATATATTCAACCACTTAGTTTATTCATCTAAATAAACCAAATATTTATTCAATCTCTTTCTTCCAGGCATTACCTGACGGATGGGTATTTCGCTCAAAATACTCGTTAAGGACTTCAAGGGCCGCTGGGGTGAAGGATGTCCGCCTCTTCCTTTTCTTAGATGGCTCACTGCCAATAAATTCAGTGAGATTGTGGACGCCATTTTTGTATCTCTCTTCTGCCTCCTCCATCCACCGTTCTAAGACAGGCTTTATTTTCTGTGCACTCTTTGGTGTGATGTCTAGCTTCTCAAATCTGGGGAAAGACAATCTCCTTTTATTGTTCTAAATTGAAGATGAGTGTTACAAGAAAATAAGTGAAGAGGACTTTTTTTCCCTTCAAGTGCCTTTTTTTTCTCTAAATGTCTTTTTCATTATTATAGGGATACTACATTCCTAATAAATCTCACTTTATAATAGTTAAGTCTGGAAATCAGATTAAAAAGTTAACTGCATTGTCTAATGAAAAGACACTTACAAATCAATAAAACAAACTTATATATAACATACCATTTTGGACTTAATCACAGAAAAATGACTAAATGGCAAAGCTTAAATAATCACAGGGCATTTAAGTCCTCTATTTGTCTGCATAACTTCCTTTAATCGCTCACCTGCAAATTGCAGACTGGCTATAGGAGGGGCCTTCTGTCGCACTCAGCGCCTGTCCCACCTGCGTCTGTGTCAATCCCAGCGAGAGGCGGCGGATCTTAAACTGCTTGGCAAACTCTTTGATCTCGTCCAAGTTGATGCCGTCTACAGTGGTGCCCTCTGTGGCATTGCTGACCGTATCTGAGACATAGGAAAGATCCACAGTCTTCAAACTCTGCTCTAAAGATTAAAGGTGTCATTGTGTTAGGTGTGGCTGCACTGGGTGTGGCTGTATTAGATTTGATTGTGTTAGTTGTGACAGGTGTGATTGTGCTGGCTGTGACTGTGATTAGTAACTGGGTATGAGTTTGTTAACTGTAACTGCATGTGATTGCGCTAGTTTTGGCTGGGTGTGACTGTGTGAGCAGTGACTCAGTGTGATTCCATTAAATGTGACAGCACTGTGTGAAGCCATGTTAGATGTGACTTAATTTAGTGTAATTATGTCGACTGACTGTCTTTTGTGTGAGCGATAAGCAATTTATTGAAATACTGTCATTTGTTCAAGGGAAATATAATTTGAAAATTTTTCGTAATGAGACTCAACTATTAACTTGTATCTTACTTCATTGTGGGACATAATCTACATATTTGTCAAAAACTTAATATGTAAGAAGTGAAGAACACCCCAAGCTAAAGTGATTATGAAGAAAGATTTGAAGAACATTAAAACATTAGTAATCATCATAATAACAAAAAAAATGAACAATTACTTTATAAACATAGTGCTTCTTGATGTTTAAAAAACTCACTTGGAAGCAGCTGGCTAACATTGGCAGGCAACCCATTAATTGTGGGAGTGGTGGAGCCTGTGATTGACACAGCGACGGCGCTGGCTACCTGTGTGGTTGGTGTGTGGGTGATAACAGACGGCTGTGAGGCCTGAGTGGGGAGGATCTGAAAGGTGGTGACAGGAGGAAGGTTCTGCATCTGCTGTAAAGATGTCGCTTCAGATCCCACCGCTGCCGCCTATAAAGACCAATCGATACAGGGATCAGAATAAGCCTAATGAATTTAAATAATGTAGACGATGAGAGTGACAGCTGGATATTTGAAAACCATGAGCTGACTTTGAACTTTTGGAACTAAAAGAGTGACAACTCACCATTTTCTTATGTTTCAGCCACAATTTATACGTCTCCAGCTCAGCAGACTGTCCGCCATTAACTGACGTGGCATTGGCTGACGTCTGGGCTTGGGGCTGGTGCTGCACCAGTGAAATTGGACCAGGCGATGCCGACGAAGGGGAGGAAGATGGCCGACTCTGCAGCTGACTGCTGCTCCTTTTCTGCGGTGTGACGACGCTGGAGGCAGCATGGTGCGTGGGCTGCATGTGCTGCTGGGCGTGTGCTGGCGGCGTGTTCTGGCTGGTGTGGTGGATGGTACTGGACATAGTAGACACGACCGGCGCTGAATTGGACACCACTGGTTGGGCCGCAGACTGGAAGGAACAGTCACATTTGGCATTAAAAAAATTAAATAAAAAGAGGCATGACAAAATTCCAGAAACATGCATTATTTAGATGCAGTGTTGGTGTGCTGGGATTGTATTTAGTGTGATAGGTCTTCTGGAGCTAGTTTTGGTAAAAAACAGATTTGAGCTGGTGTGACAATTTTTTCTATGTTGTGCATAGATAGTGTTGCAGTGATGGGCTTTACCCAAATTGTGCAGTACACTTTCCTGTTTGCACTACTTTCAGTGCGCTAGGTGCAACTTACCTGAGATTGTAAAGCACTATTCACAGCCATTGCGCTAGGTGCGACTTACTTGAGATTGTAAAGCACCATTCACAGCCATTGCGCTAGGTGTGACTTACTTGAGATTGTAAAGCACCATTCACAGCCACTATTTGTCCTTGAGCATTGGTGAGGTACTGAGGTAAGGTGGTTGGAGGCGTCTGGGGGACCGTGTGGCTAGTTGTGGAGTAGCTGAGAGAGCTGGGAGCAGAACTACTGGCAGGCAAACCTGGAAAGAACCCCAAAAAGAATAAAAGAAAAGAAATTATAACTGAAAAGGTTGGCTGATGTGTAGCTTAAGTCCCATTCAAAACAGATGATCTTCCAACTAACTATTCACCAGATTAAATATGGCCGACCCCACTTGAAGGCAATGCTATACAATCTCCTAATGGTGTCCTGTCTGCCATTTTCAGGCAGAGATTTAACTGCCCATGCAGGGATGGCGTGTGTGGTAGGCGGAGACACCATTAGGAGATTTTGAGGCATTAATTTCAAGTAGGGTCAGTCATATTAGATCCAGGGACTAGTTTGTCTGCTTATCATCTGTTGTAAATGCAGCCTAAGAGATCTGGGTAGGTGGAAGAGCTGAGACCAATTTCACAAAAAGCTTTTAAAATTTTTCAGCCAAACTTAGATAGCTAAAATTGGAAAGAACTTTGTACTGTATACAAGTTGTCTGTGTGATTTTACTCTTAAGAAGACTTTATGGAAGTTTTTTTTTGTCACAGTTGCAAATGAAAACATTAGCCAAGACAATCACAATAGGCTCAAGGCTTTTTGGTGAAAAAAAAAGGAAAGTGGCATTTTTGTTTCATTTCCAAATGAGAGAGTAAGATTTTAGACCCAAAAACTGGCACAAAATGAATTTTATTTGTGAAAAGGGTTCCTAGTAGAATGCATTACATTTCTGGTTTCAAGGAGACAAAGACTGGGGTGGGAGTCTAACTGGTGGCAGGTAAAATATAGTAAACAGACTTGTTTACTACAACTGGGATCACGTGGAGGAGTGACTGGGAGACTTGACTATGGTGCAGTTAAGCCAAGAGATCAGGGAGCAAGGGTGGAAAGGATGATAAAATGCATTACATCACTTTGATATGTTTGGCACTGCCTGAGCCATGGGCCAACATGACAAGCTACATCAAAAATACAGTGCTTTTTGAAAGCAGGAAACTGATAGACCTAGCTTATTTAAAGGTATTTTATCATTTTAATGTATAAACTTACATCAAAACCCAATAGGCAAAAACTACTTACTTTTCAAAAATAGACATACATAATAATTGACCATACTTTTACTATTTGCACACATAAACATATAGACTGTACATGAACAGCCCGTCCTTTAAATAATATGAGAGAGAGAGAGATGGAATGGAAACCCCATACCTGCACTGCTAGGGGGCGGCCACCCCATGTTGGACATGGTCGGTGTCATGGGTTGCAGGAAACTCTGTAGTCCAGGTAGTCCAGCAGTAAGGTTGGTGGCTATCAACTGACCGTTGGATGTGGTCAGGATCTGGATAGGTGGGTTAGCTGTGGCTGCCAGGGAGATAGGGATTGTGATGAAGGTCTGGGTACCATTACCTAGGAAATTATACCACATTAAATGAAGGACTGGAAAGTGCTTTAATTTCAACACCTATATAATCCTAAGTAAAAAGTTGTTCTGAAAATTTAGTCTATAGACAGGGGTCAAACACTTTAATTGTAAAAATACCATTATTTTCTTTAGAAACTACCTACACTTTACAATGTTTTTATTTTAAAAAGAAGTGTGCAACATACCAAATAGTTTATAGAGGGTATGGAAAGCATTAAAAAAAATTAATATCTAGATTTCCAAAAAAAAATCCAAACTACATTCATTTCCAAGGGTCCATCTAGAAGGCAAAAACCATCTACCACAAGAACCTCCCAAAATGCCCCTTGCCAGTAACTCACCCGTAGACACAGGTATAAGCAGCTGCTGCATCGGCATGAGAGGGGAGGGGCCAGTGGGGGTCTGGGGGAGTGGCTGACTGGCAGCAAAGAAGTACTGGGCCTGACTTAATAACTGAGGAGTGGTGGGACCTGCCGCAAAGCTGTTGGAGTTGGAGATCCCTGCACGGAAAAAATGTGAAAAAAATATATTAAGGAGTTGTCGTAAATATTGTGTTATTTTATTTTTGAGGATATTTCTTGGTTTTTTATATTGTTCTCAAGTTTTTAGCTACTAATGATAGTGACCAGTATGAATCACTGCACAGAAAATAATGAAAAAAAATCACAATCTCTCAATATCTTAGTACATTAGCTTTGATGACTTCCTGCCAGTAAAGTGTACTTTTTTATCTAAAGGAAAATGATTTTTAAAAATATGAAGAAAATTATTAACAAATAAAATAAAATCAATGCCCTAAGAATACAGGGTCTGCTCTTACTATTGTTACTTTTCTTTCTAACAAAGATGACATCTTAGAGATTCATTCACTTGAAAATCAATGAAAAAAATATTAAAAATCTGGCCAGTTTACACAACCTGAAGTGGAGTAATTCTTTGGTTCGCTGGAGGAATCACTGGTTGATCCATCATGGTTCATGGCGGGGACTGTCATGAACATGTGGTCGCTAGCGGAACTGGTCACCATGGTGATAGGTGGAAGTGAGGTTGTTGGCATGGAAACGGTTGGCAAGGTGAAGACCTGTGTTTGGGAGACTGGAGACTGAGTGGTGGTGCCAGACAGCATCACATCCTGGAAAATAAACATTTTTATTATCAAAATGTTTAAATATCATTGCAGTTGTCAAGTTCTGGTCTTGAAAACATCCAGTATATTAACCATAAAAGGGCCATGTGGAAGATCAGTTTTTATTAATACGTATTTCCCTCTTTAATATAAGTTTATCACTATCATCATTTGACATTATTATTATTTTTATTAATGTAAAATTACTATTATTAACAGGTATTATTAATTGTTACTAACATTATTATTAATGCAAAATGATAATACATCATAATGCCTTTGCCAAGTAACAAATGCCAATATCATTCAAATCTGAAACACTAGCCCACTTCTTTTGAAAAGAAACTCCTTGTTTACAAAATCAACCATGAAAAAAATTGATATTTAGAGTGTTTGACATTTACTCCATAAAGCATCAGTTATCTTTAGCACAGGTTTGAAAAAAGTGTACATTAGCAGGAGACTAGGATCATATTGACAGTGAATTGTATGCTGCCAGCTACAGAACTTCTTTTTTTCACTGAAATCCTGTTACCAAGTATTTTAAGGAGAAACATCAAAGCACTGGAATTTGAACCAGACTTGATGATAAAACTGAAACAAGCAACATGGTTAATTTTGATTACCAAAAAATTCTCTTTTTCAGAAATGCGTTCTGTATTCCATTAATGTGAAATAGCATATTTTCAGTTTTTAAGCAAAGAGAAAATATTACATTAGTCTGAGCAAAAAGAGTTCCTCATGTTAATTTGACATTATAGCTTTTTTACCACTCCTAGCTATTTACACTCATTAAAAACGTGATTATTTTCTCTGTAGCATATCCACACAGAAAAAGTGGAAAAAAATCCAAGTAACTGAAAGCTTTTATGTGCTTGCCTCCGGACTTCGTTTTACATTCTCCTTTTCTATTGATTAATTTCGGTAAAGCCAGTGCACTAACATTTCCACTGCCATGAAAACAAAATGAGATTTCTCTTTTTCTCTCCCTACATTATACACAATCCAAATATAGTCCCTGATAAGAAAAAAAGTGCAATTTTTATTGGGTGACTAACTCGCAACATATTACCAGCCAACGCTGCTCACGGCAACTTTCTATCTGTCTGTCTAAAAATGTCATGGTGTGACCACATTCAAATCAACTCAGGTCGAATGCAAATAGAAATTTGCAACTATTGTGCTTGAGTAAATGGCTGACAAAACATAAGATATGCCTCATTACTTCCAGGTATTGCCGACTGTCATTTATCTCTCCGTCAATACTGAGGAATGACTCCATAAACAGAGCTTTATTACCATTTGGTTTTAAGTTTACAGGCAATTTCTTTATTATTATTATTATTATTATTATTATTATTATTATTATTATTATTATTGATGTTATTGCTGTAACAATTATTGTATTAATATTACTATAATTATTATTGATATTAAATGCATGTTCATATTTCTAAATATGTACAGAATATATTTAAAGAGATTTTTTTTACTACAGCGTTTCCTCATCATTATGATATTATTGAAAGGTTTTCACACTTGAAAGACTGACAGATTGTACATAGCTGTTTTTTCAATAAAAGCTCTTCCTTGCTAAAACTTCACTTTCCTGAAGTAGTGCTTCAATAATTGTGCTACTATAGAGCTGATATCTATATGTAACGCAACTGTTGCATAACTTCTGCTATTTCTAATTCTTATCACTTCTTTATGCGTGGTTAAAAGACGGGACATTTAACATATAATTTCTTTTCTTATGTGTTCAGATTGACAAAATATTTACGGGAAACTCATGTGACTTGTCAAAATAAAATTAATTAATTTTGTCAGTGTGGTTCTTTGAGTAACTTTGTTAGTGATGATAAAATTTAGGATGCCAAGCAGGAGCCTAGGACAAGAAAGCTCCATTATTTAATTTAGTGTAATGACCTCACCATAAACTGCCCACTAAACCGACAACAAACATGCTGAAACTATTAGTGATGCTACCAGTCATGATGAATAAAATTTTTTAAAGACCAGTACTAGTAGACAATTTAGCCCAAGAACCTGCAACAGCAGCCATCTTGTATTTATAACAATACTTTTCATAAATGCTGGTCCAAAAAATCCAACTGTTTTTAAAATATTTCAGCATGTCTGAGTGACAGTGATAACCTACTAAAGTAAGCTGGTTGAAAGAAAAAATCACTCGCATCATCTAATATTAAGTTTCCTAGGCCTGGGCCTTTCACAAGAATAGTTTTTAACAGTTTTAAGACAAATTTAAGATTGATTCCAGAAAAGAAGATTATTTCAAATTCAGGTTCTTGTCTTCCTGTAGTGCCTAAAATACACTTTAATTACAGTTATTATAGATCTCTTAAATCTGAACAAAATCAATTTATAATATTTCCCAAAGTAATCTTTTTTTAAAAGTCTTTGTTCAGATTATATTATTGAAAAAGCAAAATAATGCCTTCGTCTAATGGAAATCTGTGATTATGGGCTCATAGCTCCACACCCATAACCAAAATGATGGCATAGGATTGAAGCCCATACACTTGTGGTCAACTCTGCCAATTTTCGTGATAAAATCTTGTTCAGGGATGAAGTTATGCCCCATACTGATTGCTATCTCACCTCATAATAGAAAGGTGTTAAATTGATGATTAAAGCTTTGAGTGTCCCATGCTTATACATTGCAACTAGAAGTATAAATGTGGATATTCTATATTTTCAAGGTTTTTTTTATAGTTTTAAATCAGAACAAAGATAGATACATTACTGATTATTTACGTGTAGGAAAAACCTCATTTTCGATACCTGGGTGATAATAAAGGGTTACAACAAAATAAAGAATATTTTGAGGAATAACAAAATACTTCTCTCACCTGCTTGATGATGGCAGAATGCGCCAGTTTGCGGGGATCTGGCTTCAGTTCTCCGTTCAAATCACTGGTTGAGTCGTTGGTGTCACCGTCCATGTTGTCATGGTAACGCTCGTGGTACGACAGGTTTATGAGTGAGTTACAACTTCTGCTTTTTTAAATTAGCAATTTACATGGTTCTATTCCTGTAATGAAACAAAAAATGACATAAATTAACATCTTATTAAATTTTAAGTTTAATTCTTCAAAGCTGGACATATAAGTAATAAAGAAATGTGCATAACTCTGGCTCTAGATGTTGTTACTTGGATGGAATAAGCTAATTGACTGTAATTCAACAAAAACTGAGGGGAAAAAACCAGCACAGTAGCCATGGATAAGAGAGAGAGAGAGAGAGAGAAAGAGAGAGAGAACTGAAATTAAGAAGCGTATAGGAAAAATGTTGATAGTAGAGAACTAACTTTCTTTTCAACCTGTATTCCAAAGTAATTTTTACTATTTTGTACAAAAGGAATTATTTTTTTTTATCTTGACAAAAGAGACTATGCTTTTAGTACCATTTTTGGTTTGTCAGTTTTAACTGTTAAAACAGACCAACTCTAAAAATTCAGGACAGATTTTGATACAACTTTCAGGATACATCAGAAACGGGTGAATGTAGAATAAGTTAGATTTTAGTTATGATCCATTAATTAATAAACCAATTAGTTAATTAATTAATAATGAGAAATGAGCTACCCTGGTGGTGGTCTGTGCTCTATGAGTCCTTCTCTACCTGTTCTCTCCATAAAAATAATACTATCAATTTCAACTTAATATAGAGAATGTTTAATGAAAATGTTTTTTTTTTATCTTCATTTGTTCAGCCTTTATATACTGCTTGTAAGCATATACTTGAAACACTCCATTTGGAGCTTAGCATATCAACAAAATAAAACAACAAAAACTGTTATGATCCCAAAAGAAAATGAATGCTCTTCTGTGCACTTTAGTTCCCAAGAGGAATATTTACCATTACACCCATCTCTAAAAATGCAGAACAAACATTAATAAATTTGCTATGTATATGTTAATGAATTCGCAGACTTAGTTTCATTTCATATTGAGTACCTGGATTTTCATCATTTATGATCTTATTGCAGAATGGTTTGAACCATTATTAAGGAGTGTTCAACCTCACATCGCAATTTCCCTCGTTCTGCTAATTGCCTCCTAACCATAGTTGAAGTGCATTCCATAAATGGCCTCCTTTTCAGTTTCACGATAAATTATCTTTTAGTGCGATCTCCATTTACAAGTTTTCATCAAAATAATAGACAATATGTGAATGTGTATCCATGCTTGTCCTGTGCGGTTATTTCAATCAATAAAACTTCGGGCTGTTCACATTGTAAATATTCATTTCTTGAAATGCACACGGATGTTTAAGGAGAACATATATTACTAGTGATTCATTATTATAATCAGGTGCAAGACATCATATTTCAAAGCATGTTTAGTTCTTTTTTTATGTTTTGTTAAATTAAATAATTTGCTGCTTTAAATCTTTAAGCATAAGCTTTATCAAGAAATAATACTGCAATTTTTTTTCAACTTCATAAAGAGTTAACTAAATATATGAATGAGCCAATATGACTTGGCCACTTCAATTTAAAAAAAAAATTTTAACATCAAATTTGTATGAATCTCAAGAATGACCCTTTTTTTCTAGACTCCCAACTTCCACAGCAGAGACTGTTAAATTATTGAAAATTCAATTTTACAGAAACTAGAAAAAACAAACTTGCATTTCTGATGACAGGTGGTTCCTTTACAGAACCATGGACTTAATGTCAAGGTTGACATTTACAAACAAATTGTATGTAACATCACTTCTAAATTATGAAAAATAGTAAGTACCAGAAAATTGTATTAAAATGGTACTCAGTGATCTATATATATCTAGAGCTGATAAAACATCAGGACCTAACTCTAAACCACAACCAGGTGCCACCAACTCCCTTGAAGATTATCTTGGTGTTTTATTTCATAGGTGTCACATTCAGGAGTAAAATAATCATAATTTTAAGTTAGTCCATGTGACAAATGAAAGTGTTTTCATAAAAAAACGTGGATAAACAAATATCAGAAATCATTCCTTAAGATATAATTTGTGGTTAACAATTTAATTATTTTCAAACTAAAAAACAATTTAATTCTCTTATAGTTCATGCATACCAGCAAAGTTCTTGTGAATAAAAAAAAAATAAATAAATATATAAATTAAAAAAATAAAAACATAATAATAATTCATTAAAAAAAATTAGCCGCTATGTACATGTTTCAAGTAAAGATTAGGTTTGAGACATGTTATCTTTGATATTACCCAAGATTCACATTTATATGTTGAAGAGAAATAAAATGAAAAAAACTAAGAAAATAATTCTTATTTCTCAACTTTATGTAACAAAATTCACCAAAAGACATTAAAAGCATCAAAAGGTCCAAACTGAGACAGTTAAAAAAATCTTTTTTATGAAAGAACAAGTAAAAACCTAGTCCCATGCATACCCATATAATTCCACATATCCAATTAATTACTATCAATAGTATTCCGCATTGTAACATGTAAGATCTGCAATATTCTGAGGAAAAAAAAAGATCAAAAAATCAATTGCACAAACAAATAAATAAATAACTTCCAAAAACATCTCAGTTATTCTACAATCCCTGTAGTCACCATATGGTGAGCCTAATCCATAATAAGATGTGCCCCACACAAATACTTGGCTAATCCAATAGTATGATGATATATTAATTATATCTCTAATTTAACTAATTACATATGTCCATTGATGCTCGCTCCCAGTAATATTCATCAGCAGGCAGATGCAGCATACTTACCTCAACGTGCCGCCATTTTAAATGCGAATATACAATTTTGCGTCTGTTTCCGAGAGCCACATACATCGCACATAACATCAGTCACCCTGTGGGATTGATCTATGACTACGAAAACCTCGCCGCGTGGATGGGAATTTTGTTCCTAAAGCCTGTCCAATGAAATAGGATGATAATGAAACAAAATATAGGTCGCCATTCTTCTGATTATCATGTACTTTCCAGGGCGAATATCATTATCCATTGGTTGGGCACCCCCAGACAGCCAAGGATCAATATTCCTGGAAGCTGACCAACACTGTACAGTTTCTGTATCACACGAGTGTTTATCCTGCTCTGGGGCCTTGCTTTAAAATCAGCAGCCACTGGCATGGACATTTGAAGCACAGGGTTCCCATCCCAATGATAATAATAAAAAACACCGATTATGCAGATGCCTGGCCCAGTCTAAGAAACAACTAGCCAACAGTGTGCATAGTACAGTATGTGTGAGTTCAAATTCTGTGACTGTCCAATCTCTCCCAAAGGTGAATTAAATGTTATCCCGCATCTTATTTGTTCCTGTTGGACATACTGAATGCGAATCATGTGTTGTTGTTTTTTTTTTTTGAAAAATAAATATTAATAAAGCTGCCACCTCTTAAAAAACAAAGGAATGAATAAAACAGACAAAAATAGATAAATAAAACACAAAAGCATGCAGAGAGCCTGACCACACCAGTAATAAATGTTTTCCTTCTAATTGGCCCTTCCCCAGCATACTGAAAAGCAGAGATATCAGTATTTGAGATTGAGTGGGCCAAAATTGATTGGTTGAGGATATTAAAATGCATCGACTCTGCAGTCGTGCCTAATGGATGTGCAGTGGCATATATAAATATATTGCTGCCGCCGCAACGCCAATAATTTGAATGGTATGGCAAAAACACTTCTTTATTTTTCTTCTGTGGGAAGTGGGATATACAATATATCACCTAATCTCATCAATTTCTTTTCAAACCAAAAAGAAAGTTAGCGCTGAGGGATACCAAGTATTTGCTTTACGGACATAATTACAACAGAAATATATTGTTTTGGATCGTAATGCCTACAGAAATTTCACACAAACCTAATTTTACCATTCGTTTTATTTTGTGTGCATTGCAACTTAAAATAAAATTTTGGGCATTTAACTTTGGTTCATTCTGAAAGTGACCATGTTAGCATTAATCTAGATCACGAGGATGGTACTTAATTGTAAAACTTCCTCATTACTTTCAGTGGTGCCTTATCTTATTTGTAAAACATCTCTATACAATTACACCATGAGCCGATTTTATTAACTAGTTGGAAATAAACCATGAGTAATCCCTGCACTCTAGCTGATGGTACAATTACTAGTACTTCCCAGTATTTTATTCAATTAGATAGTGACTTAATTTATTTGATTTATAAAATTTAGAAAAATGAATTATTTGTATACTTCCTAATAGACCTGTTATGAAATATCAATTGAAGTATTGTTATTCTTATTAACAAATTTTTTATTGATTTATTCTATTATTATAATTTCTATGCATAATAAGTGCATGACAATTTTGTAATATTAGATTGTGAATTTCTATGAAAAAGATAATTCTTGGATATATCAGTGGTGATACATTAAAAACATTAAAATCAAAACAATTAAGAAAACAAAATCTTAATGAGCCAAATGACTTAATAACAACTCAAAAATAAACACACTATATTATCAGAACATATATTTGCAATAATATGCCACATTTGGATATTCCAGTAGCAGTGAATAATAGAATACAGAGCATCATTTGGCCCAGCTTTCATCTCCCGCTCAGTTTGCAGAGGTGGAAAGAAAAATCAATACCAACTAAAGCACTGCCTAGATTAACATTTCAGTTATAAGTTACACTATGCTCTCACGGGGGCCAATAGCTATTACTTCAGGTCAAGAAATGGATTCAAGAGCCCAAGGGATTATACCCACTCAAATGGCTTTTAGGAATCCATGAACAGGGCCTTATAAAGGACCCTCCATGTCACAGCAATGTATAACAAATAATGCCCATGTTGATCTCTCAAGTGCTTTCTAAAGCATTTGAATTCACCTAATTATGGCAAATCTGAACAATTTTATGACACCAAAATGCAATTATCATTTTTTTCTTTCTTCCGTCTCTCACAATTATGTTCAATATATTTGCGTTTCTTGCCAGGCTTGTATGTCTGGCAGTGCAGAAATGCAATTAAACCACATTTCTTTAAGTCCTCTCCAATAATGATCAATTGATTCATCAAATGCCATAGA